CATTAACTCCACAGTGTGTCTAATGGGGCCGTGCTATATAGAAGGATTAGGGGCCATGATAAAGGTTACCTGGGTGTCTCAGGAGGAATAAGTCACCTTTTGCGTCGAGTTAACTATGCCATTAGCGAGCCGGACCACCAAACTTTTTTTTCTCTACAGTACACACACACACACACACACACACACACACACACACACACACACACACACACACACATACATACATACATACACAAGCTGTCTGGCTACATGCGCGCACACACACGCACGCATCCACACACATGCACGCAGTCTCTCTCTCTCTCTCTTTCTCTCACTCACACACACACACACACACCTCCCTCTTTGTTCCTCCATGAGAGTGAACATTCTCTTTTTGCCATCACTCTTTCTCACCCTTCTGTTTACCTATTCATCCATTGTGGAATTGCAGGGAGGAGGGGGCGGGGGGTTATATCCATGAGGGTCCCATCTATCCCGAGACGTTGCCAAGATTCCCCGGAATTTTGGACCGTGCCGCCAAGGACGGCGCGCTGCCCCCCCCCCGCCCCCCTTTCCACCTCCTCCTCCTCCTTTGCCACCTCCTCCTTTTTCATGCTGCCCATTTAGAAGAGGAGCAGCCTTGAATGGCAAAGAGGAATAAATAAGTGTTAAAACAAGCAGGCCCACTCGGCAGGAGTTCATGTGCTGGAGTGCTGGCCTTTGATTGTGCCCCCACCCTCCCTCCAACACATCCCCCCACTTTAGATGGTAAGTGGTTGGCACGGGGTCATGGGGAGGCATGTAGAGGCTTGTGGTTAAAGCGGGAAATTTTTCCGCCTTTTTACCCCAGGTTGCTGTTCGCTGTACCGACAAGGTACAAAGTCAACCTACCAATTCGCAGGCTGCGGAGGTACCATGAGAAGCCCCTTTTGCTCATGTCTGGGTAGAACGTGTGCTATTTTGCTGCGTCTTTCACACCACTTCCCACCATTAGGTAATTAGATGGGTTTGGTTGTTGACTTAACGAATCTGTAAGTTATAACGGTAGTTCGTTGGAACCAAAAGCAGCAAATGGAAGATGGAAATGTTCCCATATCTAAAACGAAAGGTGCAAATTGATGAAAATGAGGGGGCGGGGGGGCGGGGGGCAGCTTCTCTCACCTTATGTCAAACGCTGTTGTCAAAGCACACCAGGTGATGTTTTTGTTCCAATTCGACGACTTTGAAGGTAGTATCAGCGGTGCGGCTGTATAACTTTATTTTGGCTTCCTGATTTCATATCCGACTCCAGAAAACTTAATTTATTGGCAAGAAAATGCCAGCTCATTTTTGCAAGGCAAACTGCGTGAAAGCAGTGAAATGTGAAACTCAACCATCAATCGGACCATTTCATGCCGTCAGAGTTTCGTGTCGACGAGAAAACGAGTCTGACATCTGACTCGTCTTAATTTGAATCCTCACATCCAAAAGTTATGTCATCCCTCGTCTGCATGCGGGAGGCGCGCATCCATCGCAGGATCTTTGTTTATCGCCGGGGGCCAGGACGGGTCGCCGGTGCCAATCCCTCCTCGATGGGAACCCGCCGACCATATTTTAACGCCTCCTAAGCTCTTAATGGGACATGGCAGCTCCAACAGGCCTCCTTCTCCAGCGTCCCCCCCCCCCCCCCCCCCTGCCCAACACCACCTCGCACCCCCGCCTCGCACTTGTCCCGCTTGTGGGAATTTCCACCCGGCGCCCCCAAACAGACGCTCACACGCCCAAAAGCAATGATGCAAAAACGCTGTCGTTTGTCATAAAAGTGGACTTTTTCCACTGCGTGCCGCCTCACTACTCTACTTGCTCTAATGTCACGGGGTGAGCAGACATCATTTGTTTTAGCTGTAGAAATGAAAGTGCGAAGACCATCTAAAAATCAGACGGGATTTCATGATTTCAATCAACTCCTGAAAAAAAGATGTCATTACTAACATACAGTACATACAATCAGCTGTTGCATCTTTAAGTTGTCTTGCTCCATGGCCTTACTGCAATTGCATTTCTCGAAAAATAAAAATAAAATTCATTGGTTTGATTGCTACTTTTAAAAATTCCAACCTATTTTTTAAAATTTAACTTTAACATCCTTCCTTCTCCCAGGGTGACTGGCAATTTTTATAACTGTACTATACAACCACCCTCAGCCTCTCACCCCGAAAAAAACCAACTTTGAATGAAACATTCCCTGTTGTCTTTTAATTTTTAATTACAATTTTTAATTGCTTTTAAACTCCCAAATTTTCTCCTAATATGATTTGTTATATTATTGTTTTACCATTCTTAAAATAACAATTATACACTATATATGTACACATACACATACACATACGTATGCATTGCCAAATGTATAACAGCAGCTAATTAGTTTTTCGACTAAAATTCTTTGCAAGCCATTTCCACCCGTGATCACGATTGCTCGCGCGCGTGTGGGGTGGGGGGAACCCTCCTCCCTAATCTGCCTGCCACGGTTCATCTATCATCTCCTCTGGTTGTGGTCCGCCGACAGAAGAAATGTGCTGCTCTCATTAACATGCAAATCCTCATCTAAGGAGAACGGGATCATAATAGCGTCGAAGAGGAAAAAAAAATAGAAAGCCTCTGTCGCGAGGATGTTGCTACCATTAGTTCCTCGACTCACTTGGAAAGCCATCTCGCTCCAGTCTTAACATACACTTACTGTAACAATTACCAATGCGCAGGTTGAGATTAATTGAATCACCGCGCGACTTCCCTGTACTCGGACGCCAAGCGCATCAATCACGGCGCCGAACGCAACGCGGGGACCCCTTCATCACCGCCCTCGCGAGACGCCGGGCCGAGCCGTCGCCCTTCATCTATCAATAAAGCGGTCCGGGGTGGCAAACTCATTTCCGAGCACGTTCTCTCGCTTTAATCAAGTCGGCCGGCGTTGTGCGGCGGAAGCTGTCGGCCATCTTTCCCCGCAAACGAGCGGCAATGACGGACAAGAGAGAAAGCAGTCGTAGTCAGGCCGAGACTGCGGCAACTCTTACAAATGTAGCGAATGAAAGATAAGGGCCGATGAAGCCCCTTTTATTTATTTTTCTTCCATACTGTGAAATCTGTGCAAGATTGAATAGAAGCTATTCATGATAAGTCGCACTGTGCACAATAGAAATCAACATCTTTCTATTGACTTGGACGTTACATTCATATTATCTGAACCAATTCCAGAGAGTGCCAGAGTTTGTTCGTTTTTATAATCTGACAGACACACACACACACACACACACACACACACACACACACACACGGGCACTCAAACAGAGGTTGGTGCCTGAGGAGGTTCCTGCCGTCTGTTCTCCGTCCGCGACTCTGCCAGGGCGATTGGCGCCGAGCCGCCCTATCGCCACACAGGCGCTTGCAGATAGCAAAACGTGCACGGCGAGAGTGCCAGCGTGCGTGCCTTAGAGCGCACTCGCTGTGGATGCTCATAGAAAAAGGAAAAAAAAACAACTTCCTTGAACAATCTTTCAGCCTGCCTGCCAGGGGGGGAAAAAAAAACTTTTTTCTGTCAAAGCAAATG